ATATATTGAGCAAAACCTAGAATCCTAAAGTGAATATCAACTCTTTTTTTTCAAACAGCGGCAGAACATAAACTGTGGCAATTATATTTTTTTCAAAATACAACATGAAAAGTGATAATTAATTGACTCTAAACACATTCACTGGGATTTGGAAAGGCAGGCACAGAACTCAGTCATGACGTTTAGACTTTTCTGAACCTCTTCTTTGAAAACTGTAAATTATAACCATCAGTCTGTTATCACACAGGCTATTATTGTCCTGAGTCTGGTAATGGCTGTCATGGCTGCTCCATCCATCCCCACCAATATTTACTCTCCCGCCTCAGTCTACCCTCCAGCATTCTTCTTTAAGGTAAGCTGTCGTAATTTAATAATGTACTATGAAATTTTAGGTAAATCCTATAGTTTCCTCCAAAACATTTAATGATTTATTGAGAATTCAAAATTATTTTTTATGCAGTAACACTGCAAACAAGTAATATCACAATATGCAAAATAACCTCTGTGAAAAAATAGTGAACTTCCAAACCCTTTCGTGATTCCTCACATTATGAAGGACCTGTGACGATGTGAGAAATCACGAAAGCGTTTGGAAGTTCACTTTTTCTTCATAGTGGTTCTTTTGCATATTTTTTTCATGAAAATATATTTTAATCAATATCCTTACCTGCGCTGTGTACAGGCTCCACCAAGGTACAACTCGGGTTTTATAGCATCAATGATGACTTCTCTGGTAACAACTTCGGTCACCAGGAGACTCGTGATGGCTACGACACCAAGGGGTCGTACTCCGTACAGCTCCCCGATGGTCGTATCCAGCTGGTGACCTACACTGTCAGTGGTGACTCTGGCTACTTGGCCGAGGTCAAATACATAGGAGAAGCCAAATATCCAGCGTACCAACCTACGTACGGACCTGTACCAGCCTATGGACCTACTTCAGCCTTACTCAATCCTGCTTCAGGCTTCAGTCCCATCCCTTTGTATCACTAGAAAACTTGCTGATATAATTTGACTAGAAAGCTCTTAGTATAATAGATCTCGTACGTAAAAGCAAAATATTTTATAATTTCCCCACAACAACAAGTGAGGTGTTGGGCTCTGTTGGGAATTTATCTACATAATATATATTTTTATACGCTATTAAACATAAATTTATCATGTCTGTTTTATTTACTCTATGTCAATTGGGGGAATTTTAACGAGGAATTATTAATTTAAGTATTTCTTCACAATGTTGTCAACTACCCATCGTTCAACAACGAAAAGTAGTTGAATGTCTTACATGTATAATAATAATAATAATAATAATAACAATAATAATAATAATAATGATAATAATAACAATATAAAAAATAATATTAATATAATAATAATAATAATAATAATAATAATAATAAAAATTATAAAAAATAATATTAATATCAAAATAATAATAATACTAATAAAAATAACAATCGATCGACACCATGCCCAGGACTTTCAGGGCAGAGTAGGCGCCTGAGTCCGAGCTTACAGCTCACAAGACTGTCATTCCCAGTAACCCCCTTGGGGCGGGGATGGCAGACCAGGGAGGCCTAGCTTCTAGGCCTGGGGACAGTTGGTCCCTAAGATGAGGGGGTGCTTGTGCCTCCTCCCATGGGAGACTTAGGTCTCAAACACTCCCTAGAGAGGGAGATAAGGCCGAGCTACCACTTGGAAAAGGCCCGGGCCGGGAGAATACCGGTGAATCTTTAATAATAATAATAATAATAATAATGATAATAATAATAACACCAACAATAACAATAAAAACATTAATAAAAATTATAATAATAATAATAATATTATTATTATTGCTACTACTATTATTATTTGCTGTCTTTATAATGATTTTATGAAAATCCAAAAAAAGTAACTAGCAAAGGATAAAGAATATTAGTCAATCTACAGTTTTCTTGGTGATTCTAACTGGGGTCTGTGAAAACGACAGTCCGCACATCTCCCGAGAATCTTTGACTTGTTACTAACATCTATTAAGTTTTCACAGTTCAAGATCACTTATTTAATGAATTTATTCGGAAGTGACCACCGACTGCAGATTATCGGGAGAAGAAAAGCACTAGTCTTAAGATGCCGACGAAGCTCATAATATTGGACACGACTTTATAGCTAATGTCGTGGTGGTTGTGGCTGACCTAGTCATTATTTACTTAGCAGTGTCTGTCGTTTTTTAGGCACAGGTGGTGCTCGCTTTAGCCATTGGTGTAGGATATACCTGGAGAGGGTTTCAGGGGTCAACGCCCCCGTGATCCTGTCTGTGACCAGGCCACGCGGTGGATCATGGCCTGATCAATAAGGCTGTTAATGCTGGCCGCGCATAGACTGCCGTACGAACCATCGCCCAGCTGGTCAGGTACTGGCTTTAGGTGCCTGTCCAGTGCTTTCTTGAAGACAGCCAGGGGTCTTGAAGAGAGCCAAGGGTCTTGAAGACAGCCAGGGGTCTTGAAAACAGCCAGGGGTCTTGAAGACAGCCAAGGGTCTTGAAGACAGCCAATGGTCTTGAAGACAGCCAAGGGTCTTGAAGACAACCAAGGGTCTTGAAGGCAGCCAAGGGTCATGAAGACAGCCAGGGGTATTGAAGACAGCCAAGGGTCTTGAAGACAGCCATGGGTCTTGAAGACAGTCAAGGGTCTTGAAGACAGCCAGGGGTCTTGAAGACAGCCAAGGGTCTTGAAGACAGCCAAGAGTCTTGAAGACACCCAGGGGTCTTGAAGATCGCCAGGGGTCTTGAAGATAGCCAGGGGTCTTGAAGACAGCCAGGGGTCTTGAAGACACCCAGGGGTCTTGAAGATCGCCAGGGGTCTTGAAGATAGCCAGGGGTCTTGAAGACAGCCAGGGGTCTTGAAGACAGCCAGGGGTCTTGAAGACAGCCAGTGGTCTTGAAGACACCCAGGGGTCTTGAAGATAGCCAGGGGTCTTGAAGACAGCCAGGGGTCTTGAAGACAGCCAGGGGTCTTGAAGACAGCCAGGCGTCTTGAAGACAGCCAGGTGTCTATTAGTAATCCCCCTTATGTATGCTGGGAGACAAGAATTTATTAAGATTACTCAAGGTTTTATCTATTTTTTATTGATGTATATGGAACGTTTTTTGATAATAAATAAAGAAAATGACGTGTTTGCTTAAACTTCCAAAGGTTCCTCCCAGGTACGACTTCAACTCTGTTGTGAAGGACGACTCCTTCGGTGATTACTTCGCTCAACCGGAGTCTAGGGATGGTAAACACACTCAGGGGTCGTACTACGTGCAGCTCCCCGACGGTCGTCTGCAGCAGGTGACCTACATTATCAGTGGCGACTCTGGCTACCTGGCTGAGGTCACCTACCAGGGGCAGGCTCAGTACCCTCACTAGCAACCATCCTACACTCCTGCTACATCCTATTATCCTAAACCATCCTACAAATCTGTCCCGTCTTCCCATCCTACTGCATTCTTTAAACTGCTCCATCCTACGGCCATAGTCTAGTGCCATTCTTTAAGTCATCCATCCTACGACCCAGATTCATCCTACGGCCCTACTACATCCTACAGGAACCTCTCAGCGCAGGCATCCTCCACTATATTCACTCTGAAGATTATAAATAACTGTAAAATTAATATATTATTTTACTACTTGTAAATAAATCATAGTAATTTTTAGTATTGCATTCTATATAATTAAACCTTACTGGAATAATCAAGAAATTATGTTCAATTGTATTGTATATACAGACTGGTTATAAAAGTTGTGATGAGGCGGTTTTCTAGCAATAACTAACATGTTAACTAGAAGGTTCAGAGTCGTTGTTGACATGGCCCGTGAAAGTGACTCCGACCAACGCGTTTAACACGTTTAAAGGAAATGGTCGCTACTGGCGTGGTCCACTGTAGGACCATCGCCTACTTACCTACTAGTGTCCAGAGACACTTATCTTATCGTATCTCCACATGGACCGAATTTTGCCGCTGAAGCGGCTAGTTTATTGATTATTGTGCAGCCAGTGTACATACTGACGCGGTAGCGCAAAGCCCTATGGAAACTAGGGAATAACAAACTTGAAAGAGTATTTTCAATTTATGTCTCACGTTACACACACATTTCGAATATTTTACAAGCGATTTTTCCCTAAGAAGTAAACGAACAATAAGGAATATATTAGGGAAAGTGTAATGAATAATTGAAGTCTTAAATACTTCGTGTGAATAATATAGAAAATTGTTATTTTTAATACACAAGAATCTGCCTCATAACATAAATCTGGATGGGACTCTAACCCGAGACTTCAATGCAGTCAACAATGGGAAATACGGCAGTCTATCTTCTCTGGGTAAAGTATGTAAGTATAACTATCTGTATCTGCAACGTCAATTGCAAGATTTTTATTGCCATCATCACCCACTATCAACAACACAAGTGATATATCTACACTGAAAGATATACCTATCAGTGTATATTAAACCGTGATAGATATACACATCTTGGTACAAATATATAAAAACATTTACATATCTCAGAGTATATACATAGAAATATTCACTCATCAATGTATATACACAAATACATTTCTCAGTGTATATACGGGAATATGCACCTACCAGTGCATATTCAGTGAGATAGAAACACTGCATATCAACTCAGAAATATACAACTTTCAGTTTATATGTCCACATCCAGTTTCATTTATCAAGCGCCCTTAACCAGCATCAAGATACCAACAGAAGAGAAGTCGTCTCAGTGCGTGTTCACACACACCTCATTAAGAAATAAACACTGCTGCTTGTTGGTAAATGACAGGAAGTTAAGTCACCCACTGATTATGATAAATAGTTCGGTTGGAACAAGCTTGACCTTATTCCCGACACCTGGGATATTGTTGAGCCCTCTGTTACTTTCCTACCTGTAGTGTTGTTCTTTTCTTGTTTGACAGCTCCAGTGACCTTGATCCTGACCCACCATAACCTCTCATGTGAGTATATAAGTGTTGACGTTGTCTGGGTACTCAGTACACTCGCTACACACCATCACCAGCATCATGAAGGTGATTCATTCTCTGAAATGAATATGTTTATTTGGATCCCTCAGAGATTCATCTGTACACGAAAATTAAATGTCTTGATTTGCAATGTGGAATTTTACGTATCATATAACTGCTTTTTCCCCTAATCATGGTGGCCAAAAAAGAGACAAAATTTTTGACTCATACTCTCTCCCAGTGTGTTTTTTTTTAAAAAATACGTAATTAATGAAAAACTGAGTCACTGGTCTTATAAATATTCCCTTTTTTCAAAAAGCAAGATAAAACTCAATTCCAACTAATCGATTTTTCTGAGCCTCTTCACAAACATAATTAGCACTCTAAAGGAGCAAGAAATATTAATATAAAAAATTAATATTTTTTCTTTCCATATAAATAACATTCGTCAATTTGTTATCACACAGGTTGTTATTGTCCTGAGTCTGGTAATGGCTGTCATGGCTGCTCCATCCATCCCCACCAATATTTACTCTCCCGCCTCAGTCTACCCTCCAACATTCTTCTTTAAGGTAAACTGTCGTACTTTAATAATATAAAATGATATATTAGGTATATCCTATAGTTTGCTCCAAAAAGTTTTGACGATTTATTAAAAAATATTTTTTTTTATGCAGTAAGATCTCAGTAAACAGGTGATATCACAATATGTAAAATAACCTCTGTTAAAAAATAGTGAACTTCCAAACCCTTTCGTGATTTCTCACATTATGAAGGACCTGTGACGATGTGAGAAATCACGAAAGCGTTTGAAGTTAACTATTTCTTCAGTGGTCGTTCTGCATACTTTTTCGTAAAAAATATATTTTAATCAATATCCTTACCTGCGCTGTGTACAGGCTCCACCAAGGTACAACTACGGTTATAGCATCAATGATGACTTCTCTGGTAACAACTTCGGTCACCAGGAGACTCGTGATGGCTACGACACCAAGGGGTCGTACTCCGTACAGCTCCCCGATGGTCGTATCCAGCTGGTGACCTACACTGTCAGTGGTGACTCTGGCTACTTGGCCGAGGTCAAATACATAGGAGAAGCCAAATATCCAGCGTTCCAGCCTACGTACGGACCTGTACCAGCCTATGGACCTACTTCAGCCATACTCTCTCCTGCTTCAGGCTTCAGTCCCATCCCTTTGTATCACTAGAAAACTTGCTGATATAATTTGACTATAAAACTGTTAGTATGACAGATATATCAAAAGCGGAAATCTAAAATACTTTACAATTTCCCCACAGCAACAATTGGGGTGTTGGGCTCTATTGGGATCAGTCAACATAATATATATGTTTTTATATGCTATTAAATATAAATTTCTTATGCCTGTTTTATTTGTTTTATGCCAGTTGGCGGATTTTGAAGCAGAGTCGTAAATTACGTTATTTTTATATAAAAATTCTCAATACCCAAAGTTGAACGACTCAAAGCACTTGAGTGTTTTACGTATATAAAAATAATAATAATTATAAATAATAATAATAATAATAATAATAATAATAATAATAATAATAATAATAATAATAATAATAATAATAATAATAATAATTCAAGTTTTTATAATGTTTTAAAATCAAGTCCAGAAGTATAACTAACATAGAGAATAAAAATCCATAATACAGTGACTGGAACGATACACAAATAACCTATACATAGGATAGAGAAGCTTAAGACGTTGTTTCAATCTGCCTTGGACCATTAACTAGCCACACACACTGTGTTACTAACACTACCACACCATATAAACCCACTTACTTATGTAAACCTCTTCCCATCTTGCCATCCTACACCATCCTTCCAGCCTGCTCCACTGTACGGTCCGGTGCCATCCTAAAAGGCTGTTCCATCCTCCAGAAGCCACTCCAGATGAGATTTCTCATTCGCTTTATAAAGATTATGAATAATTGCGATTTAAATATAATATTTTGCTGTTGATCCCAATCTCAGTGTATCTTTGTATAGTGAAAATATGTGGCGGCTCAGTTTCTAATGTCGCATTGAAATCTCTAATGTAATTTTTTTTTCCTTGGTGGAAATAACAGACGTCTGCATTAATTTTGGAAAAAAGACGAGCACAAAGCGCAGAAACTATGATAACATTGTCTTGCCTAACATTGTATATAAATGCTTTATTAAGCATTGTTTAAAATGCTTACCTTTGTAAATGCTTACCTTTGTAAATGCTTACCTTTGTAAATGCTTACCTTTGTAAATGCTTGCCTTTGTAAATGCTTACCTTTGTAAATGCTTACCTTTGTAAATGCTTACCTTTGTAAATGCTTGCATTTGTAAATGCTTACCTTTGTAAATGCTTACTTTTGTAAATGCTTACCTTTGTAAATGCTTACCTTTGTAAATGCTTACCTTTGTAAATGCTTACCTTTGTAAATGCTTACCTTTGTAAATGCTTACCTTTGTAAATGCTTACCTTTGTAAATGCTTACCTTTGTAAATGCTTACCTTTGTAAATGGTTACCTTTGTAAATGCTTACCTTTGTAAATGCTTACCTTTGTAAATGCTTACCTTTGTAAATGCTTACCTTTGTAAATGCTCACCTTTGTAAAATTTTTGCCTGTTTTTTTTTACCAGTATTGTGATGTTGAAGAACAATATAATACTCACTCGTATATATAATCTCGTATATTTAATTAGAAAGTAACAATTGTTCTCGTTTTGGAAATTTTTTTCTCCATTGTTTGAACGTGTACACCTTATTTTGATAATAATGGACAAGAATTGGAAGAAATTCCCAATCATAACTTTAGAAAAAATAGAGGATGTGGATGAGGCCTGAGCTTGCTATCACCTGCAGCTCACAAGACTGCCATCCCCACGAGCCCCTTTGTGGCGGGGTAGATGGCAGACCAGAGGCCTAGCTTCTCCCTACGAGCCCCGTGAGAGAGGGGAATGTGGCTAGGCTTAGGGACAGTTGGTCCCAAAGATGAGGGGGTGGTTGTACCTCCTCCCATGGGAGACTTAGGTCTCGGGATACTCCCCAGATAGGGAGCCAAGGCCGGGTCACCACTACTTGGAAAAGACCCGGACCGGGAGAATACCGGCGAGTAAGAAAAAAAAAATAGAGGATGTGGAGGGAAGAATGGTAGAAGATGGAACATGTCTCATGAAAAAACAGAGAAGAATAAACTCTGATGGCTTGTTTTCAAATGAAGTTCACATAGAATTTAGGGAGTGGTAGGAGAAAAAAAAAACTCAGCTCCGGAGAGAATTTTTGAGTTTTCCTTAAAATAAGTTTATTCTCTTCTCTGAGGATGAGGATTTCCAGTCCAGTTCCAGACGTGGTAATCTCTAAAAAAAAATTCTGATTGTAGATAAATCATACTAAATTTTACGATTTTATTCTTAATGAATAGACTTTACTAGACAAATCAAAAAATTATGTTCAATCGTATCATATATAGAGCAGTTATAATAATGGATAATGGGGAAATGAGGGTAATGAGATGGTTCTCTAGCAATAAGTAATGGTTCAAAGAGGAGGTTCAGCGTAGGTATGCCAGTGGTCGTTGCTGCCACGACCCTCCTAAGTGACTCTAAGTGACCCTTCACCACGTTTAAAGTGGTCACTACTACCAGGGTCTACTATAAGGCCATCGCGTACCTACCTTCCCGTGTCTCTAGACACCATCTTATCGTGTCCCCAAATAGACTGAATTTTGCCTCTGAAGTGGCTGGTTTATGGACTATTGTGTTTCCAGCACACTGTATTGAACACAGTAGTTCAAAAGCCTATGGTATCTACGCAGTGAAGAAATTAAGAGAATACATAAGGGTACATATTTTTCAATATGTATCTAACGTTACAAACACATTTCGAATACTTGCTCGAAATGTCTTGTATGTTATTTTCACTAACAGGATACCTTGACATACCACTTACTGAAGTGCCTGTCTCTTTATATCTTAATAAGTATACGTGAATAACAGTCTGAGAAAGTGACCATATCTATTGAGACCTTCACAGACGGGGGGTAGTCTCCCGTAAACTCGGTAAATATCTGAATATTTTACAGGCGATATTCCCTAATGAATAACCGAACAATAATGAATAATATCAGAGGTGAAAGTTAAGACACTTGTGCAACATCTGGTATCTTTATTGTAGACGTTTCGCCCTCCAGTGGCTTTATCAATACAGATTCTTTGGACATAATAAGAAAACTGAAGGGGTACAGAGGTACTGTAATGAATGAGTGAAGTCTTATGCAACATATGGGAATCTTTATTCAGGAAACGTTTCGCCACACAGTGGCTTCATCAGTCCAATACAAAGTAGAAACGTGTAAGGAGAGGAGGAGTTTGAGGTAATCAGTCCCTCAGCCTGGAGTCGATGTGTTCAGTCCATCAATCTTGTAGAATGAAGATTCCTATATGTTGCATAAGTGTCTCAATCTTCAAGTTGTCGGTTTTTCAAACCATTCATCACAAAGTCTGTAGGTACCACTGTCTGCAAAGTCAATTACAATATTGTTATTGCCACTGTCTCCCACTATCAACAACACAACTGACAGATCTAGCTCTTGTATGTACACCAAGAGATGTATATATCGGTGTATATTAAACCGTGAGAGATATACACATCTTGGTGTAAATGTATATACATATTTACATATCTTAGAGCACATACATAGAAATATTCACCTATCATTAAATATACACAGAGATGTACATCTCTAAATGTATATATACAAGGATATGCAACTACCTATGTATATTCACTGAGATATTTCTTTTGCATATAAACTCAGGAACGTATGTCATCATCCAGTTTCGTGGATCAAGAGCCCTTCACTAGCATCTGGACATCAACAGAAGGGAACTAGTCTCAGTCCGCGTTCACACACACCTCATTAATATAACAGACGTTGCAGTGCGTTGGACAAATGACAGGAAGTTAAGTCACCCACTGGTTATGGAATGTAGTTCGGCTGGAACAAGATTGACCTTATTCCCGACACCTGGGATGTTGTTGGGTCCTCTGTCACTTTCCCACCTATGGTGATGCTCTTTTTTTTTTGACAGCTCCAGCGACCTTGATCCTGACCCACCATCACCTCTCATGTGGGTATATAAGTGTTGACGTTGTCTGGGTACACAGTACACTCGCTACACACCCTCACCAGCATCATGAAGGTAATTCACTCTCTGAAATGTTCTCTGATATCATCAGACATTAAAATTAAACTTCTTGGTTTGCATTGGGGAAGTAAACGGGCCACATATATCTGTTTTTTCTTCGCTGATCATAAGAACATAAGAAGGAGCACTGCAGCAGACCTACTGGTCCAAGCTAAGGAGTCCAAGTCACCTACTGGTCTAAGTTACTCTGGTCCAAGTCACCTATTGGCCCAAGCTAGTCAGGTCCAACTCACACCCACCCACACCCACTCATGTATTTATCTAACCTATTTTTAAAACTACACAACGTTTTAGCTTCAGTGACGGTACTCGGGAGTTTGTTCCACTCATCCACAACTCTTACCAAACCAGTGCTTTCTTATATCCTTTCTAAATCGAAATTTTCCATCTTGAAACCATTGCTGCGAGTCCTGTCCTGGTTAAATATTTTTAACACGTTGTTTAAACCCCTTTATTTATTCCTGTTTTCCATTTATACACCTCAATCATATCCCCCCTAGAGAGTGCAGATTCAGGGCCTCAGTCTATCCTCACAGTGAAGATTTCTGATATATGGAATCAATTTTATCCTTCTTTTGTACGTTTTCGAGTGCATTTATACCCATTCTCTAATACAATGACGAGAACTGCGCAGCATAACCTAAATGAGGCCTAAACAACGATATACTTCTGAACTGAAGCCAAGGATTCTGTTAGCTTTATTGCGAACACTTATGCACTTTTATCTTGGTTTTAAATTACTACTAACTTATATATTTTTCTCGCAATCAGTGATATTAACATCTACATTATTTACTTTATAAGTGTCGTTGTCCATTCTCCTTACTAACTCTTAGAACTTTGCATTTGTCTATATTAAAGAGCATCTGCCAAAATACGAAAAAAACTTTCACTCTCACTTTCTCCCTACATGGATTCCGAAAAACAATTAAATAATGAAAACTTATTTACTGACCTAAAAAAAAAAATATTCACTTCTTCAGAAAGCAGAATGAAATTCAGTGCCAACTGAATCTTCCATTCAAGATATAAATAACATCTATAAATCTGTTATCACGCAGGTTGTTATTGTCCTGAGTCTGGTAATGGCCGCCATGGCTGCTCCATCCATCCCCACCAATATTTACTCTCCCGCCTCAGTCTACCCTCCAGCATTCTTCTTTAAGGTAAACTATCGTACTTTAATAATATGCTATGAAATTTTAGGTAAATCCTATAGTTTGCTCCAAAAAGGATTTACCGATTTGTTAAGAGTTCAGAATTATTGTTTACGCAAAACTATCACAGTAAACAGGTGATATCACAATATGCAAAATAACCACTGTGAAAAAATAGTGAACTTCCCAATGCTTTCGTGATTTCTCACGATATCAAGGATCAGTGATGATGTGAGAAATCACGAAACGCTTGGAAGTTCACTATTTTTTCACAGTGGTTCTGTGGCATATTTTTCATGTAAATATTTTTTAATTAATATCCTTACCTGCGCTGTGTACAGGCTCCACCAAGGTACAACTACGGATATAGCATCAACGATGACTTCTCTGGTAACAACTTCGGTCACCAGGAGACTCGTGATGGCTACGACACCAAAGGGTCGTACTCCGTACAGCTCCCCGATGGTCGTATCCAGCTGGTGACCTACACTGTCAGTGGTGACTCTGGCTACTTGGCCGAGGTCAAATATATAGGAAAAGCCAGATACCCTGCTTACCAGCCTACATATAATTCTGTCACAGCCTTTAGGCCTCTCCCAGCCTTCGAATCTGCTCCAGGCTTCGGTCCTCTCCCAATTTATAACTAAATTTATTAATTTAACATGTGACTTAGATTTTTATATATAATCTATGTCGTATATTTTTATATGCAATTAAATAAAAAAATAAAAAAAAAACGTCTCATTTTCTTATTGCTTGTCGTAAAACTGATTCTTAATTGTTGATTCTTTTTTTTTTTTTGCAAAAATATTCTCAGATGACCCTAAATTATTTTTGCACCTAACATATATAATAACAATGATTCTCAAAATAATACTTATAATAACCTCAACGAGTGCTAAGTTACCTTTAAATAACTCATAACATAAGCAACTTAACATAATCTACAGTAGGTCACATTTTGTAAATGGTCTCAGTCGGACCGAAGCGTCGTGGTAAGCTCCTCTCTCTCTCTCTCTCTCTCTCTCTCTCTCTCTCTCTCTCTCTCTCTCTCTCTCTCTCTCTCTCTCTCTCTCTCTCTCTCTCTCTCTCCTATGTGTGGGTTAAGTGTATCTAGAAGAATATTAATTTCTGAATAAAATTAACTTACATATATAATTGTTTACAGTCAAACGAGACAATTATATACACTATATACATTATCTTTGAAATATATTTCCACATATATTCCACACTTTATGCTATAAACCAAATCTAAGAGGTTTTCATTCTTGGAGGACGTTCTATATATGTATATATATTACGACATATTATCAAAACTATTTTCCAGTGGGCTGAGGAGGGGTTATTGAGACGGTATGGACATGTAGAGAGAATGGAGCGAAACAGAATGACTTCGAGAGTGTATAAATCTATGGAGGGAAGGCGGGGTAGGGGTCGGCCTTGGTAAGGTTGGAGGGAGGGGGTAAAGGAGGTTTTGTGTGCGAAGGGCTTGGACTTCCAGCAAGCATGAGTGAACGTGTTTGATAAGAGTGAATGGACACAAATGATTTTTAGGACTTTACGTACTGTTGGAGTGTGAGCAAAGTAACATTTATGAAGGGGTTCAGGGAAACCGGCAGGCCGGACTTGAGTCCTGGAGATGGGAAGTACAGTGCCTGCACTCTGAAGGAGGGGTGTTAATGTTGCAGTTTAAAAACTGTAGTGTAAAGCACCCTTCTGGCAAGACAGTGATGGAGTGAATAATGGTGAAAGTTTTTCATTTTCGGGCCACCCTGCCTTGGTGGGAGATGGCCGATGTGTTAATAATAATAATAATAATAATAATAATAATAATAATAATAATAATAATAATAATAAGTAATAATAATAATAGTATGTAATAACAATAATAATAATAATATAACAACAATAATAATAATTAATTACTTCTATTCAACTCTCCTCTAAACTTCGTTCCCACAATAAGCAGATTTTTCTCTTTTATGTGACTAATTTCATAAAATATCTGAACTCTTAACTACTGTATTTTAATACCAGTGATAATGCCTTCATCTCATCCGTCTGTAGTACATAAGTCCACGTCTGGCGACCCCCGTCAGGATTCATCTACAATCCTGTCAGACACTGCAACTTCTTGGGATCTTAATACTTGGGAATTCTTCGCTTGCCTAACCCTTGGGCACGACCTTGTGCACGACCTACTTCCACATTGGACAAATGTGACGCCACCTATGACTGCTGCACCTCTCCTGCCATACGGTTTATAAGCTGCTTCTCCGCTCCTATGCCGTATTCTATTCAAGATTGATGGACTGACCACATCGACTCAAGGTTGAGGGACTGATTACCTCATTCTCCTCCTGTTCTTCAAGTTTATCCTTTGTATGGACTGATGAAGTCACTGTGTGGCGAAACGTTTCCTCAATAAAGATACCCAAGAGTTGCACATGTGTCTAATTTAACATCATGTCGGTTCTTTGAACCATTCATCTACAACACTTCTGTATTCTATTGATAAAGTTCCTGGTTGGCGATACGTCTACAGAATAAAGATACCCAGATGTTGAACAGGTGTCTATTTCATCACTCTGCTGTCAAGATGTTGGTAAAAAATATCTGATTAAAGTTTGTATGATTTATTGACAAATAAGGCAAGTTTTAATAAAGTGTTACTTGATTATGAATAATCAATAGAGGTTACGTATGGCGGAGGCAGCTCGTGTGGAGAGGCTTCTGTGTATGATGGAAGTGGGCTGTAGGATGGACCAGGAGTGTAGGATGGGGCAGGATGGAGCAGGCTTGTAGGCTGAAGCAGGATGGTTGGTAGTGAGGGTACTGAGCCTCTCCCTGGTAGGTGACCTCAGCCACGTAGCCAGAGTCACAATTGACAGTGTAGGTCACCTGCTGCAGACGACCGTCTGGGAGCTGCACGTAGTAAGTCCCCTGGGTGTCGTAGCCATCACGAGTCTCCTGGTGACCGAAGTCGTTACCAGAATAGTCGTCCTTCACAGCATAGTTGAAGTCGTACCAAGAATGACTCTGTAGCATAATCAATTAAATCATTCATAAGTTACGAATCATATTCATTGTTAAAAACAACTTAGTGTTAATAACGAATATTATTTAATAATTCGAGTAACTTACATCATAGGATGGGGATGGCTTGTAGGATGGAGTGGGATGATAGGGAGCTGGCTGGTAGGATGGAGTGGGATCATAGTGTGGGGCAGGAGAGTAACTATATTATGCTGGGAGACCCAACACGACTACCACCACGACACTCACCATGACTAGAGCAAGAACCACCTGTGTATAGAAACGATAAACAATGCATCATAACATCATCTCTGTGTGATTGTAAAGTAAAAGGACACAAGTGCAACTAATGTGACATTTATTGTGGCAACGTTTCGTTCTCCAGGAGCTTTATCAAGCCATATATAATGGCTTGATAAAGCTCCTGGAGAGCGAAACGTTGCCACAATAAATGTCACATTAGTTGCACTTGTGTCGTTTTACTTTACATATTGTCGGTAATTCTACCAACTTTATTACAATCTGTGTGATTCTAAAACGACACGTTTTTTGTAACGCCAGATAAATAGATTCTGGAAGAAGTTAACTTACTAGATCTATGTTCAATCCATTTTTTAAGTGCGTAATATATAAACATAATTTTTTCTACACGTTTCAAAGATGTACCGGGGAAGCTAGAAATTTTACTTATGCCGAAGACAATAAAATTCTTTAACGTTGCTTTAATTTTATGGATTTTTCACGTTTGCGATAATTCTCACAACACGAGACCAAAAAGGTAAATAAATGTAAAAACAGCAGGTATGCTTAATATAACACAAATATTAATATATTAGCTAGTGTAAATGTTTCAGTGTTGCGGCTGTAACTTATATTCATACTGATGTGAGATGATGAGTGTCTGGTAATGACCAGGGTTGGTAATGACCAGAGCTCAGGGCTTATATACCGTCTCTCGTGCAGGTTGATGGAGGAGTCTGGAGGAGGAAGAGAGGATGGAGGGAATGGGGTTTAGAAGAAAGAGGTTTTTCTTAGAATGAAAGTGATTAAGACCCCGGTCATCTTGTTGTGGCCTTGTAAACAGCACCATATCCACTGACTTTAATTGTTGTGGCTTCAACTGGTTGAACTGACCATCTGAAAATACTTCTCCAAGGCCGAGGGACTGACCACTTCAAACCTACTCTTGAAGGCTGAGGGATTGACCACCTCAAACCTACTCTTCAAGACTGAGGGACTGACCACCTCGTCTTTACCTCTCCACTGCTTGGGCTCTCTACAACTTTGTTACCTCTAGATTCGACTGAAGAAGCCTCAGAGGAGGTAAAACGTTTCTACAAGAACTCCTTGTCTATTATATATATATATATATATATATATATATATATATATATATATATATTATATATATATATATATATATATATATATATACATATATATATATATATATATATATATATATATATATATATATAATATATATATATTATATATATATATATATATTATATATATATATATATATATATATATATATTATATATATATATATATATATATTTGTGCCTGTAAAATATTCCTATTTTTGTCTTGTGGTTAGGAACGTCAAGTTATGATCCATCGCTGTGGTGCGTGTGTGTGCGTGTGTGTGTGTGTGTGTGTGTGTGTGTGTGTGTGTGTGTGTGTGTGTGTGTGTGTGTGTGTGTGTGTGTGTGTGTGTGTGTGTGTGTTCACCAACAAGTGGTTGCAGGGGGACGAGTCTCATATCCTGGCCCCGATTCCTCGCTGGCCACTGTTGGATTCGCTCTTTACCGTACCTTTTCTTAAAGCTATGCATGGCTACTGTCCGGGTCGTTCCTTCTCAATCAAACTGACCAATTAGAGCCTCAGTTGTGTAGTAACTGAGAACCTCGTTAAAATTAAACTTTCAGCTATCAGCACTAATCCAATTAAAGATACCTCTAACTCCTTGAATCAAGAGCCAGTCACCAGACACCGCTGATATTACCTTCAAGGTGGTCCGTGGCCTGGTGGCAAAAGCTCTCGCTTCATATGCTGAATGTCCGGGTTCGATTCCCAGCGAGGGTGAAAACATTAGACGTGTTTCCTTACACCGGTTGTCCATGTTCACCCATCAGTAAAATAGGTACCTGGGTGTTAGTGGACTGGTGTGGGTCGCATCCTGGGACAAAACTGACCTAATTTGCTGGAAATGCTCAACATAACAAAGGACTTTCTATATAGTAGTATGTCACTATGTCAGTTATGGTCTGTATACCTTGTACATGTACTGGTAGAAATAAAGATATTATTATTATTATTATTATTATTATTATTATTATTATTATTATTATTATTATTATTATTATTATTATTATTATTCACTTCCCATAACCACAAACTCAAGATAATGGAAATCAAAAGAAATGAGAAATATCAGATTCTACCTCGGGTCTACCTGGAGTCTACCTGGAGTCTACCTGGAGTCTACCTGGAGTCTACCTGGAGTCTACCTGGAGTCTACCTGGAGTCTACCTGGAGTCTACCTGGAGTCTACCTGGAGTCTGCCTGGAGTCTACCTGGAGTCTACCTGGAGTCTACCTGGAGTCTACCTGGAGTCTACCTGGAGTCTGCCTGGAGTCTACCTGGAGTCTACCTGGAGTCTACCTGGAGTCTACCTGGAGTCTACCTGGAGTCTGCCTGGAGTCTACCTGGAGTCTACCTCGAGTCTACCTGGAGTCTACCTGGAGCCTACCTGGAGTCTGCCTGGAGTCTACCTGGAGTCTACCTGGAGTCTACCTGGAGTCTACCTGGAGTCTACCTGGAGTCTGCCTGGAGTCTACCTGGAGTCTACCTCGAGTCTACCTGGAGTCTACCTGGAGCCTACCTGGAGTCTACCTGGAGGGCATTCCGGGGATCAACGCCCCCGCGGCCCGGTCCATGACCAGGCCTCCTGGTGTGGGATGTACAAGATTGTCACATTTTCTTTATTGGATCACAAACTATTCTGAATATATTATAAATAATATTTACTCATTTTGTGTGAATTTCAAAATATTTATCTTTCTTGGTGTTGCAACCCCTGAATGGGTTGCAATATATATTATGTATATATGTTACATGTTTATTACCTTTTCATATAATTTTATACTGCTTATATTTGCCATAATAGCTAAATCGTAAATATATTGCTTTATATTATTATTTGACTTAGTTATGTTGTTAGGTAGGATGTAACATATATTATGTGCTGAAAGTTCAAGTCTTGATTGTCTAACTACTGTAATTATAGCTTGTGGCTCGTTTCCCTGCCGGCTTCTGTTGCTGGGCAGCAACTGTCCACGGAGTTATCACATGATCGAGGGGGGTGATCACACCTCGCCTGAAGTATTCAGTCTGGTCTAGACTCGCTGGGTGGTTGGACGTATTCCTGACAAGTGCCTAACTCTTCCTTATTGGCCCTTGTTGGAAGATCGTCTCTTGTCTCATTATTGTTAGTTCTGGAGACTCTGTTCACAGAACATTGTATAGACTTAGTGATTTTCGACGTTGTACTGAGGTTGTGTGTCGCATAGACACTCTGAGCAACTCAGGTCCTGAGCTGTAGCTTCTGACCTAACTTGTACTGGTATCTGTGTACTGTCACAGTCGGGTATTTTCTTATGCTGACCTTAGATTCAGTAGTATGGGAGTTTTGAGACTTTTGTGGAGGATCTGCTGATGGTCCCTACTTAGTGTCGTTATATTATCTCCTTGTTCCTGATTCTGTGTCGCAGTTGCTTGTTATATTGCTATTGGGCTTAGCATTCTTTTTATTGTTCAAGCAGACTGTTCTGATTGCCAGTTGGTCAAGAAGTTAGTTTATTTGAGGACTTTGTCAGTCACTTGTTTAAGTCTAGTCGAGTCGTGAGACATAGCGAACTACGTCGAGCACTTACACACATACACATAAACTTATTTGTATATTGTATTATTAAATGTTAATGTACCAGACGGTACTTAAGACATAAATATGTGATATGTGCTTTCAGCACAATAATACTGTACACGAGAGAAGTGATTATTCTTATTTTGTTGATTACTGTGATTAATTTAATTTGATATACGCCTAGACAACTTAATTAATAAAATTATTAAATTTTAATTTCTCTAGTTAGTAGCCTACCAGTTGTAATCCTGAAGCACTATTGAATCATACTGAATTTTAATGGATAATTGGACAAGGATACTGACTAATTGTTACGAAAACCCAGTAACAGGCTGGATGCTAGAAGGGCAGTCCTTTCTAGTATTCACTGGAGATCTCTAAGCTTTTAGAATCGCGTTTTTTGTAACACTTGGTGACATCATTGCATAGTTTCGTAAAGAAATTGTTAAATAATTAGAAGCACAGAAGTTATGTAGGCCTATAATGAACGTTTTGTCTTCCTGTAGTCATCGCCCATAGGCCTCTTCTGCAGGCCTTTGCTAGGCCTCTTTTGAAGGCTGTTGCTGTAGGCCTCCTCATCAGGCCCTTGTTCTATGCCTCTTTTATAGGCCTTTGCTGTAGACCTCTTCTGCAGACCCTTGCTGTAGGCCTCTTCTACAGACCCTTGCTGTAGGCCTCTTCTGCAGACCCTTGCTGTAGGCCTCTTCTGCAGACACTTGCTGTAGACCTCTTCTGCAGACCCTTGTTGTAGGCCCCTTCTGCAGACTCTTGCTGTAGGCCTCTTCTGCAAGCCTCTCCAACAATCCTAGAACCTAAAATTGACGAAAAAGGTGAAGCTGAAAAACGAACGACCTCGTTTTGAGAATTTTGAGCTGAACTCTCACTGGCCACAACAATATCTTACCTCATAATTACTACTCAATTAGTTGGTCTCGTCTAAGAGTGACATGATTTCAAATTAGTTTTGAAAGATTCCTTAATGAACGCTCAACCGTTTCCAGACGAGCTGGAGGCCAAAGCTCTCCAGTAGGTAACACGTGTGTATATATATGTATATATATATATATATATATATATGTTACCTACTGGAGAGTTTTGGCCTCCAGTATATATATATATACAAACACTGATCTCTGGCTGAAGGAGACTCGAACCTACAAACCTTAGGACAAGGTACGCAGTGCTTTACCAATCTACCCACACTGGTTCAGTGTGGGTAGGTTGGTAAAGCACTGCATACCTTGTCCTAAGGTTTGTAGGTTCGAGTCTCCTTCAGCCAGAGATCAGTGTTTGTGTATATTTCGCATGCTCTCGCGAATTCCTTGCATATATATATATATTATATATATATATATATATATATATATATATATATATATATATATATAGGTAGTAG